TAAACATTAATCTTGTGAGGACTTATCTAATAGTAAATAAGTATGTACGTATAGAAGAGTGACAAATAATTGCTACATATCCTATAATAACTCAATAGTGACACAAATGATTCGTAATCTACGTTAGATAGAGAGTCTTCCGCAAGCTACAGATATATGACTGATGAATCGTTTGTTTGATTATTGAATATGATAATGATTTTGAGACCTTCACGAGATTCACGTGATGTACTCGCAATGACAATGACTGATTCATCATTAAAGAAATTATTGCACATCGATGACGTTACACAAAGTTTTTCGAAGTTCGCAGTACTCTATCATATCTCACCAAGTAATTGCAATCTTTACGTATTAGTATTACGTTGCAATTTATTCAATATTAAATGTGCGGAATTAAAAAAAAGATAAATAGAACATTTTTATTTACAAAATTAATTATGCAATAACTGCTTATTAAATTAGTGTCTTGATTATTAAAGATATTGATTCTTTTTTCAAAAAACAGAGAGTAATATTTTTAATTGATATTTGGACTTTTCATTTCCTTTTACTTCGCAATTGTTTGATTTTAACTAAAATTAAGGAAATAAGTAATGTACCTGTTTTCACAAAGATTGATATCTTATTTTTACTTATCGATAATTTTTTTGTACCTGTTACTTCAATTATACATATAAATAATAAGCTAGGTAAATCGAGCATATTGGATCGCTCGGTTAATTAATTTCAAACATTACTGCTTAAATGCACATGTAATGCACATATTTAATGTCTGCTCGATGTTAAAATTCAGAAGAATTGCCTGGAAAGCGCAATCAACTTAACTTACAATGAATTAACGGTTGTCACTTTTTTCAACTTTCCAATTCCGATAGCTGTTCTACTTATTTCCAATCGAAAAGAATTTGTGTGAAAGCGACTATTCACGGTATAATGCCGCTTAACGCTTCATTTTTTCCTTAGAGTAGATTTGTAAAGAAATAAAAATAGCGAAAGCGTTAATAAGCCGACCTTGGATTAAAAATATAAGCAAGAATATAAAAAAAAAGTAGAGATAAAGTCTGTTATAAGAAATTTGATCTGATAAATTAATTGATTATCAGTAAGAATCAATTAAAATTGGTAAAAAAATATCTTTTTTCAACTTAATATTATCTTAAATCCTAATATATCTTAAATCTTTCAATAATAACCAGTTTATTATTAAAATATCGTCCTATAATTAACTATAATAGATAAGATCAATTACGACTACTATATTGATAACAATCGTTCGAAAGGAATACGTAAATGAGCATTCTCGGGACCTTGTTAATCGTTGCGACATGGAGAGAAAAGAAATCCGGAATTGTTTTTAGTGTGAAAACGAAGAAAAAGAAGAAATAATCACAAGTTTTAAGAGGTTACGAGAATGTCAGCGTGACAGTTCAGTGGACCGCGGAAAATATAAAAAATAGAAAACAGAAGTTTCAATTTCGGTATTGTTGCGAATATGTGAATCTCGCTATTTGAATTTAATATTATTTAACATTATTTATATTTCAATTACAATTTTTCTGTAAAATCAAAACATATAACATTGTCACGACAATATTATAATTGTCCATCGACCGTCACATCTCTATTCTTCTCACCGGAAAACACACAAGGCTGAACTAATCAAGAACATATTTTATTACAAACTTATATTGTTTCTCATAAATAAAATGACATAACATTTCATGACCACAAATTGCGCTTAATTAAAGGAAACGTCAACAATAAATCAGTAAAATCCATAAATCTAAATTTTTAAAAATCATTTAGAATTTTGAAAGGATAATTATTATTCATATAAACATAAGTATTTCAATATAATTTCGTAATAAATTCGTTTAAAAACATTTTCTTTAACAAAATAAAATTACAATAAATATTTAGAATTGAAACAAATATTGTTGATAATGTGTGATCTCTCGCGCAATGTTTTGATTTGTATATGTAGGTATCTATGCTATTTACGTTAAAATTTATTGTGTTGCCTTTTACGATGCAATTCATTCGAAAATGCCTTGAAAAAACCGCAAAACAAAATTAAAATTGCATAACGAAATTATTTTACATTTTTACTGAAAGCCACGAACAGCGTGAGAAGTTACGTAGCGAAGGCGGGCTAATTAGAATCTCCAGTAAGTAATTATCTGACGGTACAGTTTAGTTAACATTACGTAAAACTGCCGGTGAATGCTTCAAATCGTCATTTCAGACAATAATCTCATTACTTCCGAGTCGTGTGTCAGATACGCGCGAATGCATCAAACAAACTGCCAGTAGGTGATCGATCGACTTACGTAAAAGTATCGATGTAATGAATCGTTGTTTGTTTCGCAAATGTAAAATGCAAAGTCTTATACAATATCAGTAATTAATAATTATGAATATTACTCAGCATTAAAATCCATCTGTAAAACCTATCGTATTAAAAAAATATGTATGCTAGCATTTTATTCAATTTTCATCAAATGCATATAAAATCTAAATTTTTTTTAAATTCGCTGATTTTTTATTTTAATTCCTAGGAAAAATTTAGATTATAGTAATCGATATTCATTTTTGCTTTAACAAATTAAATAATTTAGACTTATCTTTTAAATAACTGGTTATTAAATAATCTGACAATTAACACAAAATAAACAAGCTAAAGGCTGCTTAAGAATTCGAAACGACAATGTTTATAAATTTTAATTATTTAATCAACTCTTAAAAAAAATTTGGAATAGTGTCAATTATTTGATAAAGATCTCAATATTATTTGATAATATCTATGAGATAATCAATATTAATTACCTCAAATTACCACAAAACAAAATTAAAAAAAATAATCTTATAAATAAATAAGTTTTATTAAATCGCGTCTACAATCAGTTTGAATTATATTTTTAATTCTGGGAGTATCCTGATCTCGTCTCATGTCATTGTTTCTTTATATTGATTGTAAATTAAAAAAACTGTAAGCAAATTAATATACATATTATTTAATATACATATTATGATTCATCAGTTATAATAAACGAATAATCAGTATTGAATTGTGTAAATATACGTGATTGTTTTATACAAAACTGACAATATAGTGCAATTCTATGGAATTCGCGTGTTCACACTGTGAAATTTATTATAAAATTATTCAATTTTTAACAAAATTAATATATAACTCGCTAATTAACCATTCCAACATTATCGCTAATATTGACCTTGCATTCGAAAGTAGCGTTTTAGCGTTTTTACAAACTATATGTAACAGATCAGCGGGTAATGAAAAGATTCAATTTCTATCCGTTGAAAGTAACAATGAAGTCAAAAATACGATCGCCTGAAGTAGCAGCCATAAATCTCTCGCTATATTTTATACTATTACTTAGACTATTTGAAGTAATTATTTAGATTTTATAAATATATATACACACATGTATAAATACATATATATTATATATTATAATATATAATATATGTATATTATATATTATATATATGAATATACATATTTTTTACGCTAAATTAAATATGTATATATGTACATATATTTTTTTTATTATTAATTTAATTATTAAATATAATCTCAATATAATTTCCGTCTTCATTATGTTTTTTTTTCTTTTAAAATAATTTCTTTCGAAGTTATCAACATTCTGTCACTTTCTCTAGTTTTCCTATACGATAATTTAAAAAAAAGAACAAGTCATGTTTTGATATAAATAACATAATGTAAAATAATTGCATTATGTTATATGGAATATTTTAATTTTGCATGTATTATTAAAATAGCTTATGTCTATAGTACCTACAAATTCATAAGTTTCAAAATTTGTTAAATAACAAATGAAACTTTATCATGCTAATAGTTCTGTCATATAACTTCTTTTCGACACATCAAAAGTCAAGTCACATCTCTGTATTACACAATACCTTTCTAAGAAGATTTCAAAATGCTCGGAGAGCTACACTGTTAAAAATATAAATAATTACATTTAATTTGAGTTATTTTTAATCATTTCTAAATCGCTATTATTCCTACGCAATGTTACTTTAACTAAAATAAGGAATTAAACAATTTAATTCAAGAAAATGTAATAAATTTGACTTAAATTTAGTTTATTGTTTACTAATAGCGAATTCGATTGGACACACTCAGTGCGCACTGGTGCATTAAAGCTGTTGTACACGAAATAACGGAAAGATATGTTTGTATATAAACATAGAAATCGATAAATCCTGAAATACTCAATACATTTTATTGTATTATTAGTTAAAATATATATTTTATAATTCGAAATATTTGCATTTCACTTTTATATTAAAATTAAATCAGTACAACGGCTTTAATATGCATCAATGCTTTAATATGTATTAGTGCTTCTAACGAATTCACCATAAGTTTATACGTAGCAATACGAGCACCGTTTACTTTAAAAAAATTACAGAAATGAATTGATTTATATTTTGACATGGAAGTTAAAATTAACATAATGTTATTCAACTCAAAAGATTGAGTACATTACTCTTTTGATATTTAAAAAAAACAGCGTATTTACATTTTTCGGATAAATAATAACCCGTATTCAAAATGTATTTTTATCAATCAACGTGCGCTTTTATTTTTTAAATGTTATAATATTTATATAACATAATAAACTATATGATAAATATGCGCTAACATCATAATAAGCGCGTTCTGAATATGGGCCAATATATGGGCCAATATGTAGAATTTACATTTATAAGATTAATCGATAATCATATTTAAATCTTATAATTTCAAATTTTCATACTTTAAACGCACAACAAGTCCTTACATTTATTTATGATAGAAACACAATAAACAAAACATAAAATATATTTCGTGCGTTCAAATTAAGTTCGAATCTCTTAAAATAACTTATTTATACATATTTAACTATTTATACTTAAGATCTCTAATGCGAGAATAATTCATGATCATAAAATGTCTGTTTATTTACCTTTAGGAGCGGAAATTTCCACATCGAAGGTCTCGGGTTTCTTCATCTCCGATTTCTTTCGATCTGGGGTCATCGCGTTCTCGACCATATTACCACCTACGTCGAAGTTTGTCTTAAGGGCGCTTAACGAAGGGCGCTTAAGGGTGTTCAACGAAGAAAGCTCTGTCTGGAAAGTCGACGTCGGCCCTGTTCCGCGTGTAACACGCAGTGCGACGGTCACTCTGACACTGTTACAAACACGACCAAACTCGCGACACTTAGAGGCGAACACCTCGCGCATGTCGGCCAATTAGACCACGCCGTTGGAGCCCCACCGGCGCGGCTCCCAACTCCTCTCCCACGCGCGGTACGCTTTTTCCTGAATGCACCTGTGTGCCTATCAGCGAATCGTAAGTAAAAAGGCAAAGCGAAATGGTAAAGTCCAGTTAAGAACAATACTCTGCACACGTGAAAGATAGAATTGTCTAAAAATAAACCGTCTTAACCGATACAATGGAATATCTCGAAAGGAGCAGATTCCGAACCAATGCGTGATACTTGCGTGTGGCAAGTGCATGGTGTGCACAGTAAATATGTACAGAACGTCTTAAGGCTAACGCTATTTTCTTTATTTGTCAATCTTTGAGTAATGCGAAGTTAAGCTGTTTTCTCGCTTCGTGTCTTGTAAAAGCACCTTTCATTTACAAATCAAAATTTTTTTATCATTTTCTTGGATCATTCCTCCTTAATGTTTCAACAACCTTAAGTTAATTCTCTTTCTCAATTAAATTATTGGAGAGATCTTTGCAAGTTTTAAATCTTTTACATTTATTTACCACCATGTAGGACTGAATTTTACAAAAAAAAAGATGTATGTCAGATAACTCTATCGATTTTACAAAAAGTCGTTTGTATCTTTCACTGTCGAGCTATGGAATGATCTTTTACAAAATGTTACAGCTTCAAATTGTATTAATTTTAATGAATACCTGCTTTGTAATCGTAATATTTAATGGTATATAAGTTGCATGTGTAAATGCACGTTATTTAACACTGCCACTTGTTAGTTATTTTTTTTTCTTCTTTTTATTTTTTGTATATAAGCATTTATCTTTTTTCTTTTTCTTTTTAATGCATGTACATATTTGCATTTTAATAATGTTTGTTGACGTTGTATTATTCTTACATTTAAGAGGATTGTACCTAGAACGCCTAATAAATAGCGAGTCATTTATTCGTTCATTCTCTCTCTCTCTCTCTCTCTCTCTCTCTCTCTCTCTCTCTCACTCTTCCATTTATTATCATTATTATATTTGTTTTATTTATTAAAATTAACTCATTTAATTAACTCACCATTCATTTATTTAATATCAATAACTCAAAAATATTAATATTTAAGACATATAGTGCAAGAAAACTCATGATCATCAATTAATAATAATTTATAAATTATTAGAATGCTAATCAAATCTCTTAAAATACTAGCCATACATATAGTGCAGAAAAATAGCTACTAGAAGAATTTATGGGCAGCAAAACAAACAAATTTTCTAATTTTAAACAGTTATCTGATATGATAATCAATAGATCAATATGTGCAAGATAAGTTATTTAAATTTGAAAAAAAGAACAATATTAGCTGTTTCTCAATGTTAACGATACACATCGCCAAATCTACTCATATATAGTGCCAAGGCCAACCGGTAAGTAAAAGAATTCCTCTCGTAACTATTTATTATATTGTTCTGAGAAAAAAAAAACTATTACAATATTCCTTTGATGACTATAAATCTTTTATGTTCTTTAAGTAAATTATTTTCGATATGGAAAATTACAGATTGCTTTTTCTCAAAATTGCAATATTATATACGATCCAAATTATCGATTTTGTGATACCGGATATAATTAATCTTGCGCTATTCGATGTAATCTAAAAATTGATCACTACTAATTATGTCAGATAAACTTATTGACATAGAAATAAGAAGCTGACATATAACTGTAATTTTTGCTGTGATCCTGTTAAATGAATATATTTCAACCAATAACGAATATATTTCAGGAATGTTAATCAACTCTAAACAAATATTTCAGAAATGTAGTCAACTCTAAATCGGGACAGCTATATCAATATTTATCGCAAATAATTAATAATAGAAACTTATATCAGACAAGGATTCAGACAAATCGATACGATTGATATAGATACGGTTCAACAGTCAGATTAATCTGTTATACTCTATTATATCATATTATCTTTGATATAAAAATTAATTTTGTTCTATAATAATATATTTGTGAATCAATCGAATAAAATGAAGAAATATTACAGAAGACAATTCATTAAAGTTATATTATCAATTATGTGTCTTTCTTTCAGAAGTGTACGGCGAAACGTAGGTGAGCGTTATGGAAAATCACCGGTTCATATAATTCTTTCGCGGAAAGTCGATGACTGCGTGCGCGAGTTCGCTAAGTCTCTGAGCAGAAATTCCAAAGCGGACGTCTCTTAACGAGAACTACTTCTCCACACCGGAATCGTAACTCATTCTCGGCACGAAGACTCATTCACGAGGTAATGACTCTCGCGATGTTGTCGGAGTCTCTTATTTGCGGCATATCATCGTCATCGTCATCATCATCATCATCATCATCAGTGGGTCTCTGAGTGACCCACAGACCCCATCACTGTGGCCTCATTCGCGGGTCGATAAACTGGCACGTCGGCCAAGTCGTTGCCAGTAGCAAGTTATACCAGTCCTGTCCGTCCCTTCCACTTCCGTCAATCTTGGTTCTTAACATAGTCACCAATTTAAATGACGTAGGCGATAAAGAGATTGAATACATTGTGCGTGGCGCATCCGTGATAAAGACAGCATATACATTCTTATTGCAATGAAACGGCTAGTTAATTATGTAATAGCTGCATTGTCGCGTTTTCCATTCTACATTCTTCGAACATTAAATTACTTGTCTAACGTTTACAATATATGACGAATTTATTATTTAGACTTTATTTAAAGTTCAGCGAGAATGTACTAACGCAAATTGTAATATTCTAATTGTGAAAATCGTTAAATAATGTTGCTATTTATCGAAATATTTTGTAATAATTGTCCATTTAGATATTTCAAAAAAAATTGTGCGTATGCCGAAAGAAAATTTACTAAATCTTGACAATATTGAATAGTATTAAATAAATATTTACTTACAGTAAATAAATATTTACTCAATAAAAAAATAATTAAATCAAATTAATGGTTATATCAAATAAATGTTTACATTTGGTAAGAACTATTAGAACTATTCAAACAAATATTTATTAAAATTTAGTATTTTTTTGAATATGAGTATGATTGAATTTGATTCAATATGAGTGTAATTGTCAATTAATATCAGTATAACTTGATAAAACACACAAAGTCGCGTCGCACTATTTGTGAATTTATTCGTGTATCACGAAATCGTAATGTATAATGCGTCATATTTTCGTTAACATTACGATTGTTTCATAATACACGAATAAACTTACTATTATTCCGTGATACACAAATAAGTGCGATGCGACTTTGTGTGTTTTATCAAGTTATACTGATACCAATTACATACACCTACAACGGTCCTGGTTTACGGAAACTTTAGACACGCCATAAAAAAATTTCCGCGGCGAAAGCGTGCTCGTAATTTTATCAGGTCGCATTTCGAGTGACGAGAAAGTGTAGCATCGCAACGTGTTTCCGTCCTTTTCCTTTTTGTCAGTAAACGAGCTATGTAGTTTAACCATTTTACCAAGCCGCGCATAGCAAAGTTTCTTTCCGGCTGGTAAACACGAACTTTCTTGCGATTTCGTTTTCGAAACAAAAGTCACGGTCAAAGTAATACGTCAAAGACCCGATTTATTATTATCAACTAATTGAATATATAAAAATCGATACATATTCGATTTTCAAAACTCCGGAAGTAGCAAATGTCTCAATAAAATTAATACTTTTAATAGATATTTGATAAATGTGAAATTCTCCGACATCGTGATTAAGATTATCTGAGATTTTGAAGTAATCTGCGCATTTTAGTAAAGCAATAGCGAATAAATAATTCCTAATACAATGACTAGGAGAATATAATCTTTAAATTAATTCTTTAAATGGCCTTATCAGATAATTGCCTTCACAGATAAATTCAAAATAAGAATGTGACGAGAACATCTTTCTCGAAAGAGGAAATTCGCAATCGTAGTTGCTTCCACGAAGTCGTATCTTGCGCAATGGATTATCATCTTGTCTACAAGTGAAATATTCGATCGCGATCGAGAGTCGTACATTTCATGCAGACTATTAATTATTAAAGAACGGTAATAAAACTAGTTGTTAAATCGCGCCCCACGGATTTACGGTCTTGAGATGATTAATTCTGAACACGTGTGATGCGATGTTTGCTCCTATCGATCGAGTGATCTCGTGAATAAGCACTGATAAGAAGCGGGAGGCTCGTCTCACGTGACAATCACTAACTAATCACGCGAGCAACCGATGCAAGCGACAAGCAAAGTCTCGGTCTATACGTGGCTAAAAGCGTGATCTGCGAAATATTTCTTAATTCCTCGTAATCCACGAGGAAAATTTATTTCAATAAATAAAGCTTAATGCAACATAATAATTGACTATTTTTATTCAAAGAATTTTATTATAATATAAAAACAATCTATGAAACTTTCGTGTGCTTGAAAAATAGATAGTACGATCGCCGTGTTGAGTTCATCATAAGTATAAAGCAGAATTACAGCAAATCAAAAAAGATTCTTAATTTTTCTTACATCTGTTATTCATTCATGCATTTATTTATTCATACATTTCCTCAATTTTTAAGCCATTTATCCGTTATTTATTTATTTACTGAAACAAGAAAAAGGATTAAAAGTGCGAAAGTAATTTTAAGGACACGTGAAACGCAATCATCTTTAGAGAAATCTGTTCTTTATTATGAATTAAATTGTTGCGCAATCATCTCTTGTCTACGTGAAATGTTGCAATGTAATTGTCGCGTATCTCTCGCCTTATAATTGCGTGATTTGCTCGCCTTAATTGCGGAGATACGCCGCGTGATCTCCTCGACAAGCACGATTTCGCACACGGGTGAAATGTTTGGGAAAAGTGAAAAGTTTTCTTCCGTGCACGTTTTCTCTCATTAATTGAGAATTTATAATGATTAACAAGAGTGCTCGTCAACTTACGACTCATTGTCGAATTCTCATTAGTAACTAAATATAATTTTGTTTCAAAAAATACATAATTAACGTATAAATACATAATTAACGTATAAATTTCGATTTAACATGCAATGTTTGCCTTTCCTCTGAAAAATAAATACAAAC